GCAGTCCTTGACGGGCATATCGCCAATTTTATTCTGGACGGCCTCGTTTCTATTCGACTTCTTGTTCTACTCCATCGTCTGCGCTTGCTTCTTGGTAGTGTTCATTATCAGCGGTTGGATGCAGGGATATCTTGGATTGTACGTTTACCATCTTCTTTTTTCCAGTGTGAACTTATGAGGAGACAGAAAAAAACGGTATGAAACGCGTTTCTTTCAGTGTGATTCTCCTGTTTATTCTGTACTTCTGGTCATGTGTGCCGTTCATTTACGCTGTGTCCTTCATATTCTCCTCGCCGTCAAAGGCAAATGTCCTGCTTATTCTCTGGCAGTTGGTGGCAGCGTTTGCGGCTATGCTGATTATATTCATAATTAGTTTCGGTGAACTGGTAGAACCAACGCTCAGTGAACTCATCAGAGTAAGTTGGAGCAATTGTTCATTCTATTCTCTTATCATTTTATTCGTTTAGTGTTTCCTTGCGGGGTTAGGGAGGGGGCAGATGAGTTTTATGATCGCAAATCCGGTACAGCTTAATCTTCGATTTTAGTCGATCCTGTTGTGCTTCTTGCCTTCATTCGCCCTTGGCAACGCTGTGATGACAGTGGGAACAACCTCGGCCGAGAAACTCCCTCCAAGTATACTGTGGGAGTGGAATATGCTTGGTAAGCGGTGTCATTTCATTTTTTTGCATGTATTTTTATTTATACTAGGTTAATATTTCGCGTCAATACAAAAAAGAAAGCGGCACTTTTCTTTTGTTTTTAATGACTAGTAAAGTTGCGAGCAGTAATCGAACTTAATTGGAAAAGCTGACTTCTCGAAATTCAGACGTGAGGAATAACATGGTAATTCAGGCAAAAATATAACGTTTATGCTGATATTTGGCTGTTTCTCTTCGCTGCTGTTTCTGATGTTCCAATTCAAAGTGATACGGTACCGCTGGTTCCAACTTTGGGATTTGCGATATGGGCGGAGGTGTTATGCTAGGGTGAGTATCAGTCTATTTTTTGTGTAATTTTTTCCTAAATGATCCCGTTTGCCAAGTAATCGCCAGCCGTTTTCAGATTGCCAATGATGAGGAGGATCGAGCAGTGACTGAAGAGCGAGTGAGTGTGCAAGAGTTTGGCGACGACATGGCGCTGGAAGTGAAGGTGAGTTCATTTTTCGTAGGACCCTCATAGTGACGTGAATATTCCACCTGGAAGATTGGGAACTCCAGGATTTGTGCAAAATGTATGGACATCTGAGAGCTGTCGATGGTCTGACCATGGGTGTTCGAAATAGCGAATGCTTCGGCTTACTTGGTGCAAACGGCGCCGGAAAGACGACAACTTTCGACATTCTCACTGGGCAGTCTTTTGCTACATTTGGAACAGCTCGCATAGATAAACGGGATGTGACAGAGCAGATTGTGAGTCCCGTTCCCTGGAATTGTCACCTATTCTACAAAGGTTGTGAAATTATTTGGAGTTCTATTTCCAGCCGATCGGTTATTGTCCTCAATTCGATGCACTTCTGCTGGATCTGACCGGAAGGGAAGCTCTCGAGGTACTCATTTGGTGGTTTTATTGCGTAGTGTCATTTATTGGGGGTTATTTTTGTGAACTCCGCAATCTTTTCAAACCACGAGTTATTTTGCAGCTAAGCGTCTTTTCGAGGTATTGTAAAAGCCCTTTCTCTCGTTCAAGTTGAACTCACTCTATTTTTCAAATTTGTCTTTCTCGTGCGGTATTCAGAAGAGTGGCTGTAGATGCGGACTAGTCACTGAGCTTTTTTGTCAACCTCTTCAGCCAGAGTATTGTTGCAGATTCTGGCTCGAATGCATGGTTTTCCTCAACCAGATGAAATAACGGATCTGGTGCTGCGAAACGTCGGCATGACGGAACACGCTGATAAGTTGGTGCGATATTGCAGGTAAACTCATTTCTCAGTTTCATTCATTTTTTAAATGAGTATTCGGTCGATGAAGTCGCTTCGCTCATCTTGCATGACAGTGGAAGTTTTGTTCATGGTCTAATAATAGTACCTCAGCTTCTTTTGCTTTCTTGTAGTGACTTTTTTGTTCATGCAAATTTCAGCTGCGTTTCGATTATCTGATGATGTGCCCTATTTTTAGCGCCACCCTAATATCTTTGTCGATTCTATAATACTCATATGAATGAAGAGTGATAATGACAGTTAGAGTCCTCTCACCAAACCATAGGACTAGGTGTTGGCCATAGAGCGCTACGTTTCCCCGTAGCCTACCGGCTGTGTTGGGCCATCATGTTTGACAGGGCAGCAGTTCCGAGAAAGCTCTAAGGTCTCTCAACAATCTATCATACTATTATATATGTGTATTACTTTATTAACTCGCTTTCCAAGTAGGATCTACTCCATAAGTTGTGTGTTAAAAATATGTGATTTATTTTGTAACCTTTTGAAAATAGCTTTTTTATAATGTTTATGTTTACTGACTTTCATTGGAATTGTAGTGGTGGACAACGACGTAAAATCAGTGTCGGTCTTGCGCTGCTTGCCCCAACTCGAATTATTATCCTGGATGAGCCAACGGCTGGAATCGATCCGAAGGTCAGTGGTTGTCTGAAGAAGAAATCCGATTTTTAGATCTTCAGCATAGGTTTCGAGACATTTCCATTTGTAAATGTGAATTATATTTTTTATTTTCTCCCTTGTGATATGGAGAGCTGATAATTTGCTGCTCGTTTCAGGCACGTCGTGAGATTTGGGAGGTGCTGTCGATGATGCGCGATAGCTCGCAGTCGGCCCTTCTACTTACTTCACACAGCATGGACGAATGTGAAGCGCTGTGCAGCCGAATCGCGATTTTGCAAAAAGGCCGAATGATAGCTATCGGGGACAAGTCCAGCAGTTGAAATCGAGGTGGGTAGGCATACGCATCGTAGAACTGTTGTTATTTTTCATGCGAACCTAGCTTAATCGTAATTGGGTTTAGTTTATTGTCGCTTTCACCATTATCGACCCGTTGAAGCGCTTAGGTTGTAAGCCCGTGGGTTTGTATAAGGGAGTTATTTTCGGGTTGACGGTAGCGTTTATTTAGCGCAATCTCTTTTTGGAGTGCGCAACTCTCACTTTCCATTCTTGATTCGTGAGTGCTTAAATGTGGACCATTCAATTTGAATTTGATGTGTGAAAGTTCATGCGGGTGGTGCATCCAAATTGCCGCGTGCTTTTCAGCTCATTTTTTCTCTCGAAATTCTCCCAATTTTATGAAGGAGCTGCATACACTTAAATAGTCATAATATTTTAAGAAAAGCCGACCGCTAGCTCTGAATTGTACTGTGTTTTACTTCAGATATGGAAACAGCTATACGATATCGATGGTGGCGCCCGGACTGGAATTTCGCGATGCGGTCATTGACGCGGTGGCGAGGGCTTTCCCCAGGGCTGTTTTGAAGACTCCTAAAGGAAGCCTCACGCTCAGCTTGAAGTGGCAGGTACGTTAATACGTTCTTTATTGGACCGCTCTTTTCGAAACTCTCACATTCTCCCGCGAAAACTGGTAGAAGCAATGGCGTGCCCCCAGAGCTCTACCACTACGGTCGTCCAAAGTGGTTCTCGAACGTACTGGTGACCACTTTGCGCGACCGCAACGCATCTGTGGTGGCTTTTTCTCAGCAAGTCATACATTGTAACTGAAAACGGAACAATCTTGTTTAGATTCCGAAATCCGAAACGGATCGATGGTCGTCGCTCTTCCGTGACGTCCAAACATTGGCCTGCATCACTGCGAGTTGTTGATTTTTGTGTAACGCAGTCCTCTCTTGAAGAGACTTTCCTAAGGCTCTCACTGGAGAGCGAAGAAGACGACACCTCGAGCAGCTTGACCCGATGACCCCATCCGTTCCACTGCCGGGTTGGTGCCCCCAGAGCTTTACCACTACGGTCTTGATCGGAGTATTCAGAATATTCTGGAAGAAGTTCACCATTGAACTTGGCCTTATTTCTACTTTCTTAGTTTTTAGCTTTCAAAAAGTATTAATGTAGCATTTACCCAAACATCTTTCCCGAATCAATGATCAGAAAGGTGCTGATATCGTTCCCGGTTCCTCATGGCCGACTTTAACGTGAGGTCGTTTCGCGGTAGCTGGCGTCGGGTGCGAGCGGTCGTGGCGCGGCGCTGGAGAGGACCGATAGCGATCAGCGCGGCAGGCTTGCCTGCTTTGGATGGCGTGTTAGTGGGTTTTGTTTTGTCCCCAGCTACGAGTCTTCGTTTTTACGATGTATTGGAAAGTGAAGTCAATTCCTCCACAAAGCCGGGCGGCCGCGTCCGCAGGCGCTTTGGTCAGCCAACCTAAAACCTGCCTTTTGGTAGAAATAACCTTATAGCTCGTTGGGTTAGACTTCCTATCTTTGTAGTACTTCCAAAAGCTGAATAGCACTAGTCTGTCCTTCGCAATAAGTACTGATTAAATCTGACAAATTTGCTTTCACTTTCCTTCGCAATACGGAATGTTCCGGCTTTCTGTCATTCTCTTTGTCATTCATTCCAAATTGTACATTCAAATGTCATCTTAAACTATGTGATACAGTAGGTTGGCTTGGTGCCAATCCGAACGTGTAGATACTCTCTTGCAGTTGTGTTGGTTCCTGGCAGAACCATTCCCTTCGTCAATTTATTATTTATTCGCTCATATCGCTAAGCCCATTGTGAGATTACCCAAGTTACCTGGCTCTGCTAACCAGCTGTTTTTCCTTCCTCAGCCTTGGCCTATTATTTTCATGTTAAAACTTTGTTTTACGATCACCCATTGCTCGAATCACTAATAAATGTATATTCTTATGTGTTCTAGGCTTGTCTGTGACCCGTTTTATGACGGTTTATACTAGGCGCACGCGATTGCGTAGCGCTCAATCAGTGGGTTACTACTGTAACTTGGGCTGTTACCCTATTCGACTTGACAGACATGTTTTGAAGTTACTCGTTCTGCTGAGAAAACTAGAAAGGCCGTCGAGTCCAGACACACACAGCAAGGTGACGACTTGGTCCATTAAAATCTTGGATAACCAGTGGTTCATAGGTGGTGGAGTTTATAGCTGGTTAAGTGAGTACTGTAATTCCGCTACAACTGAAACAACAATTTAACTTGCCATGGCAGCCTTTAGATATTTCCTTGGCAAGAAACATAGATTTTGTGGAGGCCGTCGTCACTTGTGGTATATGGTCTGCACTCGACGCGCTTCTGGTTCGTGGTTTTCTCACTGAGTGAAATGGGTAAGGGTTATAGGTTGGGTAGGAGGGGTTGGTTCCCGCATGTTCGGAAAGATCATAAGCCTTTAGATTTCCAGTGGCTTGGTGATCGCCTTTTTATTGATAGGAGTTCAAGGGAAATTTCAGCAGTGTTCGTGACGCATAGGCGAACGATCACTCCAACGTACGCTCACGATTGCCACTGAAAATCAGAATGACGTCGGATCGCGGTCTGGTCGTGAACAAATTGACTATATCACAATAGACTACGTTAGCGACCAGTTCTTCATTTTCTCAGAACAAGGTATGGTTCTCTTTTTTAGATCTCGTCGATAATTTATGCGCTTCTATGACCGAGGGCTATGTGGCACATGTGCTGCCAATAATATGGCTTTGCACGGGCAAAGGCTCGACCCTTATCAAGTAGGCGGTTTTCAGATCATCTGCTCCTAAAATCAACAGTAGCTTATTTATAACTAATGGTCACAGCCATCGAATCCACGAAAGAATCTATGAGGAGGCAACGACGAAACATTGGGAACAATTGCTCTAGTATGCGCTGAAACTGTCCATATGGTGGTTCCAGTTGAAGATCAATGAATATCGAAGTGGATCTCCATTTAGGAAGAGGAGGAAAGAAGTCGGACGAAATAGTAAAATTGGGTTCTCCTCGTTGCGGGGATGGACGAGGTCACGACTCTGTCTGCAAGACCTTCAAATAGACATAGGCTGGCACACTAGGTACTGAGGCGTGGGAGCAGCACGTGCAACGAGATAGTATAGTATATGAGCGAGACGCATTTACCACCGGATTAACGGTAACCAGAATCCCAATGTTGAGCCGCTGCCGCCTTACGATCCTCTTCCAAATCGCGAAGGTGTCACCACTTCCGCGATGGCAGACCCATCTGGACCTGTTGCGAGACAGGGTTGTTCGAGGGAGCGGCTAATCGTGAATGATAGAGGTCATACTGCGAACGCGTCACTTCCGCCCTTCTTCGAACTGAACTTTGGTCTATTTTGACCTTTTGTTTGTAGAGCTTCTTTGAAAGAACATTCCATTGGCAAGTTTTTAGGAGAACGGGTCGCGGTTGCTTAGATCCTCAGAGAATTTCTCTCTTTGTGTTGAGGTAGCAGGGCCTCTAACCCTAACCTTACAGGGCTGATGGTACTGTCACGACCTGAAGTGCGCGACAATGTAGCTAATAACATCGCTTGACCGCTGTGACCGCTGCCACTCTTACCGAACGCGGCATACGTGGCGTCTGCGCTTCTCGCGTATACCGTGCTCTCTCGCGTTTTCCCTCTCCTCACAGCTCTGTGTCTCTCCACCGTACTATGGTCGACCTTACAACAGACATTTCAGTGTTTGAGCAAATATTTGGGATAAAATATTGAGGTTGGCTGTTCTCCCGCTTACTGAATGTATTATTCGTAAGTTCTGGCGCCATCAGCGAGCAAATAGCCAACTTACGTTCCCTGCAGCTTATGGTTAGAGGATATGCATTGTTTTTCAGAGGCAATGTGGTTGCGTGAGGAACTCCATATTATCCCTCGATCAGCGATGAGCACAGAAGTTGAAGCTCCATATTTGATCGCGCCTGAACAGGTTGTGCTTCTGGTTCAACACGGTACTGTTATTTTTTTTAAGAAGTCCGTATTCAGTGAGTTAGGAGGGGTCGGTTTCAGAACGTCAAGGGTACGGGACACGTGGAAAATGTTTTTTGATGTTGTTTCAAAGGAATTTTCTTCACCGAAGTTGCTCTGTGCTAGGCCCCATTCTAGCCTGTTTGTAGCCAACTTGGCAGAAGTTTGCCTTTGTTTGAGTCTAGTTTTATTCTCATTTTCAGGTTACGGCAAAGTCAGGGTTCAGAAGGATCCTCTTCCATGCACTTCCAATCAGACTGCCTGCTTGGAGGGCGAGGGCTCTTCTGTGGTGAGCTTAGCATCATACATGCCCGTTTAGATCTTCTTGGTTATTTTTTGATCTAGAATGAGAAAAAGCGAGCTGGAGTGGATGCTGTTGAAAGGAAAGCGAAGACGTTGGAGCGGAGTACACAAGGACTAGGATGTTGCGCTGAAAAGGGGAAGGTGGTTAGCATCATGAGACAATTTGACTGAAAATAAATTTTGTTATTTGTCTGCTCAGAGTTTACAGGGTTGTGGAGGGACGATGCGGTGATTAGCGAGCCGAAACAAAAGCCTCAAATAATAGGAAAGGATTCGAGAGAGCGGGAAAACTGAGGAACCAGAAGTGATACTTCTCAAAAAAGAGTATGTCCAGTGGAAATCTCACTATCATCGTTCTGCGGAAATCGCTCCATTCAGTGGACCCCGACGAAAATATCTACCGATGGCTTGACGAGTTCGAGGTGCCAGTGCCGTGCACTCGCGAATTCCGCGCTAGACAACTCGTCTACTACGATCTCTGGAGTAGAGGCTACTATTTAACAAGTGGCGAGCAGTTTGGTACTGCATGGTTAGTCTACGAAGGTAGGAATATGTTATCCCCTCTCGAGACAAAATAAGGTTGCTGTGCTTATAAGTTCATTGTAGGGCCACCCGACGAGGTTCATGCAACGTTTCTGGTCGACCCTGTTTTTGAAGACCAAATGATTGCGCCAACGAACTTAATCGCTTTGGTCCGGGTGGCAGTTCAGGTAGATTTTGAAATGGTGGACGTTTTCTACTCGCAGCAAGGGTCTGAATTAGGCCTTTCTTCTGACTGCTTTCTTGGAAACCATTTTTGTGTGAAAAGAGTCATTTAAAAGTGTTATTTTAGGTCAAGAAGCTTCTGGTTCTAGCAGTGGTATCTCCGGACCGTACCCAGCCGCACTACGTAATGATGGACTGGCTCAGACCGAGGGTGTTAGATGAGGAATAATGAGTCGTTATGAAGCACCCGACCCAGCTGTGCGTGCAACAAGGGGCGGGCGTGAAACAGTGCGCTCCGCCCATTCTGCACGAGTTGCTGGTGAGTTTGACAGATTCAACCACAACTTTCCTGGAGTGATTGCATACGCCAAATAGAGATGGTGACATCAAATGTTTGCTCAATCCCAACCGGATTTTGTTACAAACTATGACCACCACCAGCTCGTCCAGAATTGGCGTGGCGCTCATCGTCGCTTCTCAGTTGATGTTACCTCACATTTCATATGAAGTTGCCTTCAGAATATGTTTAACATTTAATAAATGAACTTTGCCAGGTAGCTTCTATCCATTGTTTTCATGAGTAGCGTCAAGGCTTTATGGTGTACTTGCTAATGTTAGAATCACAAGAAAAGGAAATTCTGCATTTCTTGCGCTCTCAAATGGGATTTGCTGGAAAATTTCACAAGTGTATAAGATCTGGCAAGGAGCGAAAATCTCTTCAGTAATTGAAGAATAAATTCCACCTCAACAATCTACAGAGCGGTCATACTTCGTGCAAATCCCAAATGGATTTGCGCGATCATTGGTGCTTATCACCAGTAGGGGTTATAAAAGCAGGGCCGAGTGGTATGGTTTCATTTTTAGCAGCTTCTTCTCCAGTTTCCCTACATGAATCGCATGAATGGCTGTGGCGATCACACCCATTGAGGGGAACAAAGGCGGTTCGTTTCTTTCTCGCACTTCAAGCAGGGCAAGGAGCAGGATTTACGTAATATTGTCCTGGAGCGACCAAGTACAAGAAAGGCTGTCTT